TGGCACTTACAAAATCTTTGTGCCTTTTCACCTTTTTGTTAGATTTCCCTCGATTTAAAATGGCCGTTACTTCCCTTCCCATAATTCCCTGCTTCTTACCTAGAAAGATGGCTTCTCCCACCTACCAAAGGACAGCCTTCTTCTTCCCATGATGCCTCTTCTCCCACCAAAAAGTAACCAGATATTTGCTACCTTTGAGTAACCAGTGATGTCACAAGCCCCTCCTAGTGATGTCACAGGCTCTTCCAATCCCTTAATACTACCTCACTTAACTACACCCCTGCTCCTATAAGCCCCACCCCAGTCCTATAAAAGAAGCCCTCTGTTCTGCCATGTTGCCCTCTCCTTTGCCGGGCAGGTTGTCCCTACAATAGAGGTTTGTGGTGGTTTCAGTCTGGTCTTGGTTTTCAGCTTTTCTACCTGACACTTTTTACCCATGTTTACAAACAAATCACCATGGATGATGCTGCATAAATCGTTCTGAGATTTCTATTCTGTGCAGTGCTCTCTGAAAGCTTCCTCCCCACACACAGCATGGTCGGCATTCTTCCCTATGCTTGAGGACTGTAGTGCAAGGTCACAGATCATCTGGAAAGCGCTTTCTAATTTTTTAGACAAAGATTAGGATGCAAATCCAGCCCGGAAATTGGACCATCGCTGAGCATCTTTGTTTATCTGATTAGGGCTCAAAACCATCTGCACTTAATTGCGAGTCAAGGAATCATTTAACAATCAGCTAGGATTAAAGGACAAAGCCTCTTAGGAATAGCTTCTGCCGGTGGAATTGGAAACAAAAGGGCTCCCGGGCTCCCTCCACTTCTCTCCCTAGGTCTCTGAAAGCCAGTCAGTGCTCTGGTCTTAGGTGGTGCTGGAAGGAGACTGCTAGGGCTCCTTTCTGTGGGGGCTGCGCTCCAGCAGGGAAAGACCCCTCTCAGCCCAGAAGGCCCAGGACCCCCCAGAACCCTGGCGCCTCGGGCCGCTCACTGCAGTCACATTTCTTACAAGGACAGAGTAGAGATCTACCAGCCTTCTGAAGCAGAACCACATGCCTGTAGGCCCAGAACTCAGAGGACGAGGCAGGAAGATTGCAACTCTGCCCAGCTTGGGCAATTTAATGACTCGGCCAGACTTTGACTGAAAATAAAAGATAAAAAAAGGACAAGGGCTGTAGCTCAGTTCGAAGGCCTTGAGTTCAGCCATTCAACCTTCAGTAACACACACACACCCCACATCTGTGGCCGGGAGACACTTCTTAACTCTTTGCAACCAAGTAAGATTCCTATAGGTAATTACCGTTAAACCATATGCTTACGTAACTCTTCTAACCAGTTCCTCTTCCAACCAAGAACAGTAGGACTATCTCTGAGGCTTCCCACTCAGTCCCCAAGGTACTGCTCCACTTCACACCTCGCAGGTTGCGGGCCGCACCCAGGCTGCGGTGCTGGGTTCAGTCAGTGCGCAGACCCCACGGCCCAGGGTTTGTCCCCCACAATGACCTCTCTCCCTTCTGAGGCAGAGTGGCTCTGAAACTTAGACAAGAACAAGGATTCCTGAAAAGCAGAGTACAGTTTCCTCACTCAGTGTGTATGACCGAGCCCACCAGGTTTTGATTTGTCCCCAACATTCACCTGACTCTGCTGCACTAGCAAGCAGCGGGGCCAAGCAGGGGTCCAGGAGGGACACGGGGAGAACCCAGCTCCCACAGCAGGCGCACGCCATGACTGCCGTTGCGGTGGTCCCGGTTGCTCAGTTGGTTTTAAAAATAATACCCTGGAGCCAGTTGGGAGACATTCTTGAACATCACTGCAAACTGAGTAAACTGGGATGTTTTCTGGAGAAGTCTTAGTCACTGCCATACGGTCCAGAGAAAGGGAAGCAACCATCCTCACAGAAATGAAGACAGGTTAAGGCCAGCACTGGCCGTGGGAGCCGTTGCCTGGATACACCTGGGGTTGTTCTGCTGGAATCCAGCACTTCCAGGCTTCCTGAAGTCTTTCACCTGTGTGCAATTCTGGGGAAATGGCGCCAGTTTCCACAGCTGGCCGTCAACAGCAGCGGAAAGCCTTATTGTGCTGAGTATGGCACAGAGGAAGCACAGGCCTGGTGGGCAATCCTCCCTCGTCTTAAGATGGCTGCCACATGGAACAGCAGCCTCCATGTTAAAATATGGCTTCTCCCAACAAAAGACAGTCTCCTTCTTCCCATGATGCCTCTTCTCCTGCCAAAAGACTAACCTGATACTTGCTACCTCCTAGCAGCTAGTGATGTCACAAGCCCCTCCTAAGTGATGTCCCAGGCTCCTCCAATCTCTTAATACTACCTCACTCCACTCCACCCCGGCTCCTTTAAGTCCCACCCCAGTCCTATAAAAGAAGTTCTCTGTTCCTCTGTGCTGCCTTTCCTTTGTTAGGAGACAGCCCGGCAGGTCCTCCCGTGATAAAGGCTTATTGTAGTCCTGGTCTGGTGCTGGCTTTTCAGCTCTTTTACCTAATAAAGGTTACATTAAAGACAGGGCCACCAAACACACCCACACACACCCACACACACACACACGCTCTCTTCCAGGCTGCAGCCTGCTGAGGTGTTTTTAAAGATACAGAAGTTACGTCCATTTTTACATGTTCTTAGAAGATGGCAGAAGTACAGAACATGTTTCGCAGCCTTCAGCAGGACAGGAGTCAGAGTCTGTTCCCACACTGCAGCTTGGCTTCTCTGTGGTGACCGCTCAGCCGTGCACACCGCATCAGGATTACGGATGGATCCAGTCCCCCTGCGGCACCGTGAGCTCCTTCCCGGAAATGTCCTGTTCAGTTTCAGAACCAGCCCAAGGCCCAGCGCTCGGCATGCAGAAAGCATTCGTAAATGATTAATAAACCCGTAACTTATAGAGTCGGGATGAAGAAAATGACAGCTACCGGCTCAGAGCCTGCACAGTGCACACACTGTCCACGGGTAGATGAGTGGCATCAGCAGAGGCAGAGTCACCAGCGCCATTCAGTGCAGCTCTGTACCCAGCCACGACGACACGGAGATGCGTGGTGCATGCTGTCGCTAAGCAGGGGCGTGGGGCTCTTCACTGCGGGCCCTGGACAGCCACCTCCTTTGAGCCAGACACTGCTGCATTAGTTTCACAGAACAAGGCCAGGTTTCCCACTAGTTTTAGGTTTATGTTGTCCTTCTTTTTAAATGTTACAATAAAAATAGATTTTAAAACGCTAGATTTGCTACTTCTACACGTTACCTGTACTGCACATCACCTACGTGGCTCAAGATAGTTCCTCTTTGCTCAACCTGGCCTAGGTGGGAGGTGAGACGCCCCCTAGAGTTTCTGATGTGTGGCTTCCTTTCACACACGCTCCTGAGAAGACCTGGTACATTTGCATAAGCACAGAAGTCTGTGTGGTGCCCAGAATGCAGAATGATTGGGTAAGTGAAAGGCCCTCCTCCCTGCAGGCAGAGAAACTTTCCATCATGCTATTAATACCTCTGATAAAACATCTGCCCACCGTGATGTCCTTTATCAGTTGTCACTAACATGAGCTGTTAATCTCACTTCTGTCCCGGAGGTCCGTTTCCCGGATGGACATCGGAGGGGTCTGGGGTCCCCCGCGACAGGACAGATATGTTGGTGATGTGCCCTTCGCAGGACCACGGGACACAATGGAACATCACTTCTTTGTACTTAATTTTTAAAAGACACTGTCCCATTTCTTTCCAAATCATGAGTCTTCTAAATGTGATTTTATGGAGTTTCTGGTTGCTTTTCACAAAGCATCCTGGTGATTCTATCACGGCTGGAGGTCATTTTAAACCTTGATTGCTTCTGACAGCACAAGGAGCGATGCCCTTCACTGGGGACCCCAGGAAGGGTGGATTTATAAGCCCGTGTGTGGATCTGATAAGCAGGCAGGCATCACTGTTGCTGTGTACATAAAATAGGCCCAATTAAAGGACAGTCACCTCCTCCCCGGAAAAATCACCTGCCCACTCAGGAGGAGACTTTCTCTCTAAAGGCAACCTCGTGGTAAAACTTCAAGTTGACACTAGAAACTCTTCAAAGGAAGAGCTAGGGGAATGAATTAAACAAGCAGAGAGAGAGAGGAAGGGGACAGGGAGCCCCACAAAACTATAAGGAGCATATCTGGATAAACAAACCACCTGCTCCCTGAGGTGATGTGAGAGATCTATGTTTTATTTTTTTGGTATCGGGGATTGAACTTGGGTCCTTGCGCTTGCAAGGCAGGCCACCGAAAGAGATCGAGGTTTTAAAGACATCGGAGCACCCCACCTTTGCTGAGAGCCAGGCAGGGCCCCTCCCCGAAAGGCAGGAGACGATTTTACCTGTGGAGAGGCGCTGGTGCCCCCAGAACCATCTGGGGTGGGGTGGGGATTCCTGTGGGACAGAGCTGCAGGCCCATGCAGCACAGCCGGGGCTGTGAGCTGGGTGGGCCGGGCTCCTGGGTGTCCTCCCTGCTCCCGAGTCCCTCTGTCCCCACCTTCCTGCTGTCCCTACAGGGCCCCATGCCTTCCATCTCTGAGTCCTCACCCTGCAGGGGCAGGCTTGTCCCGGGGGTGCTGTGCACCCAGTTTTGCAGGGGCTCCGCTTGGCTTCCTTCTCTCAGGGCCTAAAGCAGCCCAGACAACACAGTGGGCGGCATCTCCTTCCTTGGTGCTTGGTAAAGGCGAACCTCGCATGTGCCACACTCTTCTGCCTCTTAGACACGAGGGCATGGTCAAGAGAAGTATTTGCGCACCCCACGCTACCAAACAAACCTGCACTTCTTTCAGTAACAATGCCGGAAATTACACTAAAGATTACTTTGCATCGTTTTTTAAATGTAATTTGTGTCCATTAACACAATGACCCTCCAGCAACAGAAGAGGAAAACATGAGTTCTCGCTGGAACAGCTTCCCGCTCTCTGAATCCCAGACTCTGCAAGTCTGCATCTCCTCTCTCTTGACCAAGTAGGAGTCAGAGCACAGTGGAGAAGGAGGCCGGCTGCCTCACCAGCAGGCGGGTGTGGGGCAGAGCCTGCTGGAGTTCGCCGGGTGGTTCTGGGGGCCGAGCTCATCACCACAGAGGCAGAAGTTTGCAGACAGAAAACATCAGTGATGGAGGACTTGTGCACATCCCAAAGCTGCCTCATTGCAGGAAATACTGCAAAGGAGAGGGGTGCAAATCTTTCCCTTGGCTGACTCCCTCTAATGGCTGTTTTTGCTTCTACTCTTATTTCTTTTACTCAAAACCCGTGCAGAATTTCTCCATTGCTCTTAGAACATCAAGCTAATTCTTCGGGTAGCCACACACATGGCCTCCATCCAAGCACAGCCCTTCCGTGGCTCCTTGGAGGGAGCTTCCACAGGCAGGTGGGGTGGCTCGCGGGACCCCTGGCTGGGTGGGAGCTGGAGAAGATGATCCTGAAATTCCCGGCCAGTTCAGCTTTCAGGTCCCCCTTTCCCGATGCTGACGCCTGCCCTGTACAAGGCAGGGGCGCGTGAACATTCTGTCTGCCTGCTGCCACTACGGAGGGGGCTGCACTGTGGATGCAAGGAGTGACCACGTCCAGGCCACTGAGGGGGCGCCGCAAGGGTCAGCAACACAGTGAAGCTGCTTGGAGAGAAGGAAAGAAAATCAGGAAAGGCCAACGAGCCGGAACTGCCCGCATTAAACTAAGGGTATGTGGTAAGAGTCAGGTGCTTTGGGTGGAGGGGAGCCAGGCCCATTTCCTTGCCCGTCTAATCCCCACCTGCCGAAAGGCAACCCAAAGTCATCCAGTGCTCACACGAAGCAGGAAAGCATGGGACCCTGGGCACCCGCATGGCCCGTCGTGTTCCCGGCAGGGAGCTCCTCACTGGGGCCTGAGCCCACCCGACCTCACTGTGAGTTTCCACTCCCCATGTTTCCGGCCTCCACCGAGACCCTCACGTGGTCCCCGTGGCTTCTGCTCGGTGAAATGACACCTTATTTCCTCCAGTTACGCTGGCTTTTCTTTAAAAGGTTTCAATCTTAATAAAATGCAGAGACTACAAAGCTTCCACAGCCCGTTCTAATCCAGCCCAGGCCCCAGATTTCCCTGTGTCCTGTTTCCTGAGCAGGAGACTGGTGCCATCTTGTTCCAGGGAAGGGAAGGTGGGGTAAGGGGTCCCTGATATTGCCGAAGGCAGAGCAGAGCTAAGAGCAAAACACTAACATGAGCATCTCCTACGCTGATTCCACTTGTTTTGGACATCCAGGCACACTTCACTGCTCAGAGCCTTCACTGCATGCGATTTTGTCAGTACTGTGAGGCCGCCCATGCCCCTCGGACACCGCAGGACGACCCCGTCCACTGTCCCAGCTGCCCACAGTGGCCCCTCAGCCCAGGATGCAGTCTGAGAGCCTGGGCCGCTGCCCTTGCAGACACGCACCTGCTCCAAGAGGGCTCAGAGCTGTCTCCGCCTCGCTCCTCTCCTCCCTCGGCTGCTTATTTCCCTCACATCATCGCTGCTTCCTGAACTGATTTTTCTGCCACCTCTGAAAATAACAGCTCATTAGAAGGTGATCAGAGACAGCGAGCAATCCAAGATAATTGCTCGAAATGGCACTGATCTTTGCCCCAGCCCTCTGCTCTATGCAGGAGGTGAGGAAACCCCAGGTCTGCACTGCACACCCTGCTCAGGGCCCGAGAGAGAAGGGTCACATCCTGCTCGCCACGCACACTGCTGACTTCCTGAGACAGGACGGGGCAGCAAGCCGGGGCCCACTGCCCAGCGAAGGACAAGAGCGGAGAGGAACGCCACGTGCGTGTCAGGGAGCTGGCTCAAGAGCACCCAGGGGGGCTGGGGGTGCAGCTGATGGCCCCCTAGAGATTGCAGGTGGGGTGGAGAGGCCCCTATCAGGAGGGCCACCGCATCTCACAGGGACAGCTCCACCGGTGTTCTTCCGGACCAAAGCCACTGCAGGGTGATCCGCTGGCCAGGCCAGTTCGCACATAGCCTTCCGACTTTTCTCACCTCTCACAGGCGGGCAGCCTAGGCCGGCGCCCAGCCCTGCTGACCCAGGTGCTTGGTCCCCAGCTCAGAGCCGCCTGAGATCGGGAGAACTCACACGTGGCACGAAAGCAGTGGGAAATCAGTGTTGAGACCACAGCATCTTAACAGGTCCAGGATGTTGCAGTCGGCTGGCCTTTCCCCAGCCAAGTGTCTGTGATTTCTGATGCTTTCAGAGGTCTTGGGGTTGTGAACCACATCCAAACACAAACACATACCTTACATACTACAGCCTGAGGGTAACTTTACACAACACTCCTAATTATTTTGTGTGTGAAACAAAGTTTCACAGTACAGAGTTTTCACTTGCAGCCTTCCGATTTCGGGACGTTTTGGATTTTGGAGGGTCTCAGGCTGCAGATTTCTGTGTGACAGACCGCAACCCGTGTTACCTAGACAACAACCTCTCCGTGCACAGAAACCGCAGAAACATTCCAGAAACATGTGGAATTCAGAACTAGGAAATAGAACAAAACAAAAAGAGATTTCTACAAAAAAGGCATTTCCGTGGAGGCTGGGGGGCACGGAGGGGACACAAGTGCATCCCGGCCCGGTCCCCAGCTGTCCCGCTGCTGAAGGGACTCCCAGGCTGTGGCCCCAGCATTTCAGCATCGTTCGCAATCACCACAGCACGTGGTCTCCTCCAGGCTGCTGCGGGGTGCAGTCACCCGGATGCAGCGGGCTCCCGCCCCAGCCCCGCGTCAGAGGGCCGTTGCCGCGGCCACCACTGGACATGAGGCGCAGGGCTCCCACCAGCCAGACCGTCCATGGGGAGGGAGGGGACAGTCAGGAAGCACTGACCGCTGTGGGACAGTGGGGACAGCGGTGCGGGCAGGTCGTGGCCTGTGGAGTGACGTGGGGGGCTGTGCCCACTCAGGGCCCTCCCTGCCCTCATCCTCCTCCTCGTTCACTGCTTCTGACTATCCTGTCTCCAGGGGTGACCTGGACCTGAGGACCACGCTGGATACCTTGGGGCACCTCCCCAGCCCCTCTGCTGGTGGAGGAGGGGCGTTCAGTTACTCTTTCTTTCTCTCTCTCTTTCTCAGTGCTCAGGGTGACACTTTCCCACTGACCTGCATGCCCACTCAATCCATTTTTTTGTTTTTGAGAATAACTAAGTTGCCCTCTGGCCTTAATCTTGGGATTCTCCTGCCTCAGTCTCCTGAGCAGCATGTACCAGCACACCCAGCCTACTCTGCTCTTCTTCCTGTGTCTGGCTTTGCTAGGGGTTGCAGTCAGGAATAAACAGAATGAATCTGTAAGATGTGGACGTGGTACCTGGCACGTGACAGCAACAAATACCACTTCCTGCGGCTTCCACAGGAGCGACTTCAGGGGGTGGCACCATCCTGGAGCTGGGTGTTCGAGAGGCCTTTAGAGCTTGGCACTGGAGGGCCGCAGAGGGCATGGAAGTAGGCCATGAAGACGTCCTACGCAGGCAGGACAAGTCCACCTGGCGAATCACCACGCCATGCCTCGTGGCCTGCTAGAGCCCTGCTGTCATCTGTCCAGCAGACTGTGCGAAGGGCCCTGGCAGGAGGAGGGAAGGGCAGAGGCGGGGAGGCTGGGAGCACCTCAGGAGCTCCTTCTGCTCCGAGACAGTGCTGGGGACCTGGCAGGGACCGAGCCTCGTGTGTCCACTCACAAGAGCCGAGCAGCTTGCAGGTTTGTGTTCTGTCCTAAAAAATGCATGAAACTTGAGGCAGGAGAACTGCAAGTTTGAGCCCAGCCTGGGTAACTCAGTGACTTAGCAAGACCCTGTCTCAGTATAAAGGAAAATTTAAAAGGGCTTAGGGTGAAGTCCCTGGATCCCATCCTCAGTACTGGGGGGGCGGGGAAGGCATGAAACCACGCTGTCTCTAAGACATGCAGGTCCATCTTGGTGCGTAATTAGATGAGACCCGACCAGGTAGTCAGTGGGCAAAGAAGGTGGCCATGCCTGGCCAGTGCTCAGGGATCTCATAGTCCCAGGACACGCGGCCGGCACTCCCCACTTACAAGGAAGGCCAAAGACTTCCTTTCTCATCTCCATTTTTACTTAAAATGTTAGCAGTTGTACTGCTTTTTAAGCCCATAAAATATTCACTAATGAAACTAATTACTATAAAAATGCACCAATTAATCCTCTCCTCCAGTGTGTTCAGGGGATTCTCCTGTAGCTGACAGGGCCCAGCTGTGTTTTTACTGAGGTTTTCTTTCTGAGTTTGAAATCTCTGCATACCCATCTCGATTTGTCTTGCAGTGGGACTTGAGTCTGCCCCATGAAGTGCGTGTTTTTCACGCACATCTCAACCACGACCTGCAGGTAGAAAGCACCCAGTCCTGGGAGGCCGGGTGTGAGATTTTCCCCTCCCGGGCAGGAGTCAGTGCTGCATTTTGCATCTTCAATCACTTCAGGTTTCAGATTTTTGGGTTATGAATGCTTTTCCTGTATTCACATTGTAAAAAATAAAAGTCAACCAATCAATCAATCAGAAAATACAGACGGGTAGGAAAGCAAAATAAAAAGGAGCCGTGGTCCTATGTAGGTCATGGGATGATCAGTTTTCCATGTTAGCTGAGCCAGGCCAAAGCTGGGCTCCTCAGTCAAGCTCTCGCCCAGGTATTTCCACGCAGGTGCATCCTGGGAACAGCAGAGAGGGGTCTGCACTAAGGAGCGGCAGGGAGCTGGAGAAACTGCGCTACAGACGGGCGCCCTTCCCTCCACGTCAGCTGTGGGTTTTCTAAGTGCTCGGGCCACGCCCACTGTGCCAGGCCCGCTCTGTCTGTGTCTCTAAACACACACGGCCTTGCACAGATAGCTCTGCACCCACACTGGGACCACTGGCCTGCACACCCACCCTGCACCGATCCTGCACACCTTCATGAGCTCACACTTCTAGAAATGAGCCCGGGCCTCCTTCAGTAAGCTTTATGAAGCCTGAGGCGATTTTGCCACTTATTTTCTCTGTTTTGTCTTTTTGGGGGGCGGGTTGTTGAGACAAGGCCTCACTATGTAGCCCAAACTGGCCTTCAACTCGCAGCAATCCTCTTGTCTCAGCCTCCTGAGTGAAGGAATTAACAGGCACTGCTATGATGGGTGAGCCTCTGCTTAACATCAGATTTAATAGAAGAATAGAGCAAGACATTACGGATTTAGATTATAACACGACACAGAATATATACTTAGAAAACGCGACAGGCAATTTATGGCAGTAAATTAAGGCAGCAAAAACAAGTTTAGTGAACGAAACAAAGACGGTCAGCTGAGAGCAGGGCAGGAAAACGAGCGGGATCTGGGTGGGTCCAGAGCCCTGGGTCCCGAGCCCTCCGCAGGCCGGGTTCAGCCCCACGTTTCTTCCCAGCATGCAAAGCTCTGCTCTGTGCTGGAACCCAGGGCCCGCCCAGTGCACGCGAAGTTGCAGGGGCCCCGCTCCCCGGGAAGGGGCTCGTCCTTGGAAGGAAGCAGTCCTCACTTCAACCTTGGCTCAGTGTTCAGCGTGAGGTAAAACAGTCACAGATACCCGAGGAAATATAAACGATGCCGCGTGTCCCTGTTGCAGAGAGCCCCGGGAACCCCTCAGGGCCAAAGGGAGCTGGGCTGAAAGAGCTACAGCAAAGCCCAGAAGGAAGGGTGAACAGACGAGGAGACGTGGCACAGACAGAACGGGGACAGGAGGAGCAGCCATCGCACGGAGAGACTCGAGCGCATTACGGGACGTCAGAGGGGAAGAATCTACCTGGGGATCTCAGGAACCCAAGACAGGGCTCAATCCCTACTCCAGCAACAGCAACGTCAATAGCAAAATCTTAATAAATCGTTACAATGAATATTGAAACCATTAATTAAATGTCATCATCATATAAATCAAAATTCATATAAAGTATGTTTCTGATAACAATAATATTAAATAATAATGAAATGAACTTTAAAAGAACAAAATTAGGAAATTAAACAGCACATAAATGCTGGCCTACAGAGAAACCACAAGGAAGAACAGAAAATGTTTGGGGTTGAGTGAGACTGGAAACACAGCACAAAATGTAATGTAATGAAAACAGGGCTCGAAAGAAGATTTATAGATTTAACTGCCTATTCAAATTGAAAAAAACTGTAACCCAAAATCTAAGCCTTTAGCCTAACAAACTAGGAAAAGGACAAACTTAAAAAAATAGAAGGAAGCAAATAAGATAGGGTAGAAATATTAATAAAAAAATAAAGAGAAGCAATGTGAGGAGTTGGTTTTCTGAAAAGAATAAAATTGATATATTTCTAGCAAAGAAGTGCCAGTAAAAATGAAAGCAAAGCATGCTGTCCATATCAGGAATACAAAAGGAGACAGCCTCTCCCCAGACTTTACAGACATTAAAAAGATAATAAGGCTATATGATAAAATAACTGTATGACAACAGATATGACCATTTTATGTGAAATAAATTCCCCCAAATCACATCTTAGCCAAAGTGATAAAAGAAAAAAATTCAGAATCTAAGTAGGCTAATATGTGTTAAAGAAATGGAATTTGTAATCAGAAGCCTTCTTATAAATCAAAATACAGATTTAAAAAACTCCAGATAGATTTACAGAAAAGGAGTCCGTCACAATTATTTAAAGAAAAGCGTGTGAGAGGGAATGCTTCCCAAATGATTTTTTTCAAGCTGCATAACCCTTATAATGAAACCTGCTGAAGACAATTTAGAACCAAAATATAGAGAATAGTATTCCTCAGTGATCATATATGTGAACCTCTGTTAAAATATCAGCAGCTAGATTCTACGAACATAGAAAGGATAACACATCATGGCTAAGTCACATTTGCATTAGAAGATAAATTTGATTTAACAGTCACTCAAAAATTATTCAACGTTTATTACTCTAATTATTCAAAATTCATTACTTTAACAAATAAAAGAAAAATTCATGGGGCACTCTCCGTCCACAAGAAGAAAACATTTGACAATGTTCAGCTCTGTTTATGATGAAACCCTCAGAAAATGAAGAACAGAAGAAGGGGGTCTGATGAAAGGAGTCTCTGTAAAATGACAAATAATATTATATCCAGTGCGGAAATGCGGAACACTTCGGCTGTGGGATGAAGGACAAGGAAAAGCTGAGTACTCTCCACTTCCATCCAATACTCAGCATCATACCGGAAGTGGGCAGGAGCCGTGTGGCAAGACAATGAAAGAAGAAAGCCACACAAGCACTTCGCTTACAGCATCTCAGTCTTACGATAAAGTACTTACAGTATATGGGTTTTATGATAAAAACTTTAATGATCAAGATAACACATGCACATATCATCTCAACAAATATCACGGCTTGATTTGTAAACGAACCACCTGTAATTAAGACAATGTAGTACTGGCATTGGACTAACAAGCAGATC